CCTACTTAGGAGAAAATATTTACTACTTTTAAGTATTAACTTATAAGAAGATTTCTGTCGCAGGATTACTCTAATTTTCAAGTAAGGAAGAAATTATTTCGCCGGTCAGCCCGCAGATATGTCTGCGGGATACTTAACTGTATAAGGTTGATTGCATTGAGACAATATTGAATCTTTTGCGATTGATATACAAGGTGATATGATGTTTATTTCGATGACAAACAAAAGCTACTCTATCTTTTTCTTCAGTTGTTGATTTGCGGAGAAGAGATGAAATAAACTTTAACTTGCATTCTTTGAAGATATTTTTATACTGCGAAAGAAACTTTGCTTCTTAAACTTTTGCTTAGCCATTTTCATTCAGATCTTAGATCATAATTTCTAGTTGTAAATAAAGCATTCTAGAACACTTGTAACTTAAGAAATAATTTCGCTTGAAAACTAGTCCAAGTACAATATTAAAACCTTTCTAAGTGCTTTAGTTAGTGATTCTACTCCTCTCATTTGGCATATTTCTAACTGTTTTGGACAATTTCCAACACTTTTGGCGAGGCTGCACGGCTTGGAGGCGGAATTTGGCAGCGTACATCTCATATGTGTAGAGTTTTTTGGCAATACGCCAAGAATGATCCGCTAATCGGCGAAACTCGTCAAAACGACGTATTCGTAGTATAATCGGGAGATAATGAGCCTGTCGTAGGAATGTGCCTTGCAGGCATGGGCCGACTGCACCCAAATATTACGGGTGCCTAAGTTCCTCTTCCCAGCATTCCTTATGACAGAGGTCAATCTTTGGTTGATTCGGATTACAATTCGATTTCATCTTTGACTATCGTAAAAATGATGGCTGCGTTTTGATTGGTGAGCTTTAAGCCATATTAATTCCGCTTACAACGATCATGAAAGCAAAACTCTTTTGGGTAAACTAATAAAACTCTAATGAATATCTTTTTCCGACTACGAATGGCTGGATGAAATACAAAAAAAGTAGTTAAGATTAAGCTGTTACATAGTTAATGGTCAAATCTCACTATTGATTGTTGAATCTTCAAAGAGTACCAGCACATTTGATTGACTTTTCTTTTCTTTTCTAAGAATCAAGGTTGACTCTAGTTAAGGTTAAAATTCTGAGTTGAAGATGCCGGTTCAGCTTGTAGCTGGTGGAAGCTGTCGTTCATCTTGACGCCTCAGTTCAACCTTCAGTTCTTAAATCACAATATTCTGCCTTTAGAAATTTTCCTGTTATCGGTGACGTCTCAAGAATTTTCAAGCAGTCATCCTCGACACTTCAATCTTGAGAATGGTTTTTTAGATAACGTTTACGTTTTTTGAGGCACCTTGTATTTGAGAAAGTATCTGAAAAGTCATTATAATTCAATCTTGTTGCTGTCGCTCAACTTATGCTGTTCTACTCAAAGGGAAAATCGTAGATGTTTGAATTCGTTCGAAAAACGTCGTACATTTACGTGCTCCTAGTTCTCTTAGACTTCTCTTGTTAATTGCTTTGTGTTCTCCTACTGCTTGATACGCTACTTGATAAGGTCTTCGACATCACGTTTGGGTGATTGTAATGTGTTCTAGAAACAAAGGAAAATACAGTTTTGCGTTATGCATTACAAAAGGTGCTTATTTATACAAATCTGTGAAGATTTATTTTTACATAATTCAGAAAAGGCTGAAGTATTTCTCAAATCGTAGACCCACTCGAATCATTAAAAATAAGTATATCCATAAATTGAACGCTATCGTTGTATCTATAGGATATCATAAGCGTCATAGTCTCATAGAACCATTAACAAACGTATGCAAAGAAAATAGGAAATGAAAGGAAGACGTTGCAGGCGCCATCAACTACGAGTCACAAAACAGGGAACTACTGTGGCACACATTCCGCGACATCCTTCTACTGCTTTGGCCGGCCTACGCAGTGATCTACGAAAAGATTAGAAGTCGAAGCAAAGGCGAAATGCAGTCGAACGAAGAGGCATTGATCTGCGGCAAATGCGGTGGAACGGCAGTGGTTCCGATGCGAACGAAAGGCTGCGCACACATCGCCTGCTACTGGTGCGTCGCGTCACGAGGGCCTGTAGAAACGCCGCGTTGTGCCTTATGTGGAAAAGAAGGACAAGCCATACCTTTACGTGGAAATGCTCTTCTATAGTGGAACGGGAAATGTACAGGTTGGTGGAGCAATCGGTCGAGAATACCTGAAATTGTGCTAGTTGATAGATTACACTTACATCTTTTCTAAAGTATTATCTTCTTGCCCCTAGTCCGTGCTCTCGTTCAAGTTTTTATGAATGCTTTTTGTGCCTTGAAATCTCAAAAGTGATTGTGTTTTCATAAATTTTGTTAGGGATGCATA